GAAATAAGTAAAATAAATAGAAGAAAAAGAAGAAAGGAAAAAAATAAGAAGAAATAAGTAAAATAAATAGAAGAAAAAGAAGAAAGGAAAAAAATAAGAAAAGTAAAAGATTACACGGAAAAACAAGTTGGTGGAATTTGCAGATGGGAGGAAAATCCAGGTACGATGTGCGTGTTTCAGGGATACGGGAGGATCCGAGGAAGAGGCCCGCAGAGGCTCCCTGCGCAGATGTGAGAATAGGGACCTGACCGCCCACCAATTCCCAACAGGCCTTAGAGTGTGAAGATCCTGAGACTTTTAGCTCATTCCTAAACGTAAGAATTTTGTGTTTCTAGGAACCGAGATGTGCACCTGTTTGCAGCGCTGATCACAGAAAGAGTTAAGATCGGCTTCATGGGAGACGGAGCGAGAATGCAGCCTAAAAAGGCAAGGGCTGAAAAGGTGGAAGATTTAAAAACCCACACGTAGCCTGGAAGGTCCAATCCTTATGACGTGAGTGAGCTTCACGTAGGACATTGTGGGGAAGAGGGTGCCCAGCCCGGTTCCCAGCGTGTTCCTTTGGCGGGATGGACTTAGGGACAAAACTCATAAAACATGGAAGTCACCGCCCTGTTTCTATTCGATTTTAAGTTTAAAAGAAAACATCTGCGTTTCTCTTCATTTTCTGAAGCTCCTGTGCAGAACTATAATAAGATTTGATGTAGTGAGCCTCTATGCATCAAGAAAGGAAAAGCTCATGGAGCTGCAGGCAGGCAACCTGCCACGTGAGCGAGAATCCCATCATGGTGGTCGCCTGCCCGCGGGGCCAGGGCAGCGGCGATGGAAGGCTTTGCTTTAAGGCTGCATCTTAGCAGATAAACAAGTGCGGTCAGGGCGCTCTGCAGGCCTGGGCTGCGCTCTCTGCTTGCCCCTAGGTCTTCAGCTCATCTGAAATGGGAGGTTCAAAGAGACAAAAAATAATAATAAAAACATAAACTGGCACTGGGTCTGCTTCTGCTGTGCGCTGGGGTCCCCCCTCCACCCGCAGCAGCAGGGAGGTGTTAGAAAGAGCTGCTCTGAGCGAGGAGATAACGGCATAGAGGCTCAAAGTGGGACAGTGGGAAGTGGGAACCGACATTAGGGAGTGGAGGGAGAGGCAGAGGAAGGCAGGGA